AAAGCCTAATATTTCAAAAACAAAAGCAGTCTGGATTGGATCTAAAATTAAAACAGAAAATACTTTATGTGGTAATACAGGATTAAAATGGACAACTGAACCATTTACTGTTCTAGGCATAACATACACTGCAAATCTTGAAAATATGGAAGAGCTTAATTTTGATAATAAATTTAAACTTATTCAGAAAGAAATAAATCATTGGTCTAAAAGAAATATTTCACCTTTAGGAAAAATAACGGTAGTAAAAAGTTTGCTTTTATCAAAGTTTACACACTTATTTATTTGTCTTCCGAAACCAAGTGTGCAGTGGATACAGCAACTAGAAAAAACTCTGTATAAATTCATATGGGGAAATAAAATTGACAAAATATCCCGAAAAACGTTACAGTTAGACTTTGAGGGAGGTGGATGTAGAATGACTAATATAGAAACATTTATTAAATCCCTAAAATTAACATGGATTAGAAGAATATTTACAAATAATTCAAACTGGATAAACATTTTTTCTGAAATTACTGGTTGTAATATTAATATTTCCATTTCTAAATTTGTTCTCTATAATAACCCTTTGAAAGTAAGCGGAGTTGATTTCCTGATAATTCTGCCGGAATGTAAATTAGGCGGGTCGATAGGTCAGCAGCTAAGGAGGCCTGATACGCATGCAAATCTCGTGCGCATCTGTCTCTGTGTCTGACGCTAAGGAAGCCAAATATGCATGTAAATCTCGTGCAGCTGCCTTTGTGTTTGACGTCAGTGTGCGAGGACTACTGAAATTGGCATGGAAGTCCTCGTGTAATTTAAATCGATTAGTCTACATTCTTAAAGTCTAAGTCTACAATTTTATTTCACAATGAAATGGAAATATAAGGAATCACTGTCTAGTTTTGAGAGTATGCCAGGGACATCAACAATGGTGGGAAACATGGGATAATTTTAGCATAACGGGCTTCGCCCGTTATGCAAATTATCCCATGTTTCCCACTATTGTTGATGCCCTGACATACTCTCAAATCTAGACAGTGATTCCTTAAATAAACTTTGTCAGGTTGGATCTGAATATTGTAAACAAAGGGCAAAAATCACACAAAATATTTTTTGGAAAGAAACTTTGCTTTATTTTGCTGAATTTTTAGAAAGTTTTAAATTTTCATGATGTAGATATATTGTTAGAACCATTGTGGTATAATAATCAGATAAAGATTCAAAATAAATGTGTATTTTATAAGACATTGTATGAAAAAGGGTTCCATGTAGTACATGATTTATTTGATACAGAAGGCAATTTTATTAGTTATGAAAGTATCACAAATGATTATTTAGTTAAGTTGCCATTCACTACTTATGAGGGACTAAAGCAAGCAGTTTTATACTCATGGCCAAATGTCAAACAATTGTCAAAAACTACTTATGGTAAACCATACCAACCTGAATTTTTAAAAATACTTTTTCAGAATAAAAAAGGATCCAGAAATATTTATGATCATTTAATGTCTAAAATACAGCACAGACCTATTTGTGAAAACAAATGGGCTATTGATTTAAAGTTGGAATCTGATTTTAAGTGGAAACATATTTATACAAACTTGAAATACTTAACTAAAGATTCAGCACTGATATGGTTCAATTATAGAATTATTCATAGAATTCTAGGTACAAATAAATACTTACACTTGTCTAAAATTAAAGATTCTCCACTTTGTTCAATATGTGAACAAGAACCAGAAACAATTAAACATTTATTTTTTTACTGTCCACAAGTTTCTATGGTTTGGCTGGCACTGTCAGATTGGATTTTTCAAAAGTCTGGTAAAAGAATTGAATTTGATGTAAAGACTGTTCATGTAGCTATAAACTTGATTATTCTGTTAGTGAAGAAATATTTATTTCAGCAATCCAGAAACAACTCTTGTATTGTTTTCAAAGATATTTTGAGAGTTTTATATAATTACTATACTTTAGGAGAAAAGCTGTCAGAAAATATTTTTTATAAAAAAAGATGGTCCAATTGGAAATGTCTATTTAATGTGTCAAATTTTGAAAATGTTCTTGACTAATTATTGTTAATATGCTTAGTGTCTTCTTTTCCAACATGTATGAAAGGATGTGTGAAAGGTTTTGTATATTTGTTTGTTTGTTATTAAAATAAATAAATAAATAAATAAATAAAAAAAAAAAAAAAAAACCATTTCCACGCAGTATGATTTATACATGCTCAGTAAAGAATTTTTTTTAGAAAAAACGTTTTGTAAACTTTGAGCGCGTTTTGGAAAAATATAATATTTATGACAATTCTACCGTGAACAAACACGATTTGAAAGCTTAGAATATGTTTTAAGTGGGATAAAAAAATCTGGCTCTAGGATGTAGCAATCCTAAAAGATTAACTTACGTTAAAACTTTGATATAAATACGGAAATATTTCAGTTTTTATAGCCTGACATAAAAATCTTATCGAATAGATGCAGTCTTTCCAAAATAGTCCATGCACTTTCTGATATGCGAGGTAAGATATTGGAATAAAACTCATTCATGTATAATTACAGGATTCTCTTTTCTTCACTTTATAAGCCTTTCCTTATACCCATTTAAAGTCTGTAAGCTTAGTATTCGGCGCTCATGAAACCCGTGATAATTTAAAACTATGTGTATAGTCCATACGATAAACACTTGTGTGAATTGATCTATACATATGGAATTTAAGCATTGTCGAAGAAAATCGGACGGATAAGCAAAAATTTATTTACCAACAAATAATATATTCTTGTAAATGTTATAATTGGACTTGATAGGAACCATCGTCTCAAGCCACGGTCTGGAGTCCGCATATAGCTCTCTCCTACCCATGGCTGCTTGCTCACAAAAAGTGTCGTAATCTTGAATATTTACGTCTCTCTATTGTGACGTCATATTCAGTCAGTGGCAAGTATTGTTTCCATCGCAAATTGAAATCAACAACTGACGTCAACAGTTTAAAAGAAATATTTCCTTTACTGCGATTGGATATTGAAAGGTCGTGATAAAGTTCATCTTCCGACTATGCTTTACTCGCATTGGTCAATATTTTAATGAGCTACGAAGAATTCTCGCCTCGTTCAACCACGGCCAGAATGGGAGAGGATCGTACATTTTGGCCGTGGTTTGCGACGATGGATAGGAACTTGCTGGTGCGATCTATCCGTACTAAACGATTACATCCAATCATACATTCTTTTTTTTATTTTACCGAGATAAAAAGTCAAGGTTGTTCACGGTAAATATGTGGGGAATACCTTATTCTTCAAAAGTTTTCATCTTACTTCTACAGATTTTTTGTTGAAAAAATCTTTTTGAAGAAAAAAAACAAAAGCACGTGTTATCTTTTTGTTCTTTTAAAATGTTTTGGGGTGTGCAAAAATGCTGCTGTCTGATTGGTCCGAAAAATAATTACGTTTACTTGATGTCCATTTATAGCAACTTTCGAATATCGTTCTTGACTTCCATATTTGGAAATCGCCCAGACCTGTATAAGCTTTCGTATGAAAGCGAAATCGTAAAAAATGGTTTTTAAAAGCTTTTTTCCAGCGATAAATAAAGATTTAGAAAATGTGAAAATATTCTCGCACCCAATCTTTTTATTCAAAAAAAAAAAAACTCAAGGAAAAAATGATAAACGAGTGAAAATTCCCATTAACAGTAATAATTATTTCTGTAAAGAGAAACAATTCCCTTTACGCGTAACAGCTACTGGAAAAAAAGGAACTGTGTCCAACTTGTTAAATAAAAGAAAATCATTTGTTATAAAAAGAACATAATGATAATTATTAAAGAAAAATTAAAATATCACAAAATATGTAATCGTTACTCGAACATCTGATCATCAGTGTACAAACTCAGGCCTTTTAAAAATGACTTACATGTAGCCATTGACGCAGTTCAGTTAATGACCATGAACATAAAAGTGGTTTTAACTTTGTCTGAATATCAATTTTTTGATTTTAAATCAGAGTTCCAATTCTCCAATAGTCAAGTTAAAGAATTAATATGTAGGACTCCAAAGTGCGTTTGGACTCCAAAGTGCGATGGTCACGCCAAAGTCCGATGGCTTGAAACGACAAAGTCCGATGGTGCGGAAAACAACGTTTATGACGTCAAAGTACTACTGCGCCATGCCTCAATGCCGCTCTATGCCAAGGTCTTAAAAATACATGCGAAAACTAACCCTTATCTCTCAGGTACATGTAGGTGCGAGACTAACCCTAAACGCTCGAAAAGTGTGTATCAACTTTAAGCTAGATATCTTAGTGTGTGCAAGACTAACCCTAATCACTCTAATAGTGTGCAAGGACTAACCCTTTGGAAAGCAGGGGTACGTTCAACAGCATAGCTGCTTCGTAGCCGCTACGTAAAACTACGCTCTTGAACAGAGAGTCGCCCGCGTGGCGCAGTGGTTAGAGCGTCTGCTCTAGAGTCGCGAAGTAAGGAGTCAATCCTTACACCGCGGGTTCGAATCCCACTGTGGGACGTGGAGACCGGTCCTTCGGATGAGACCGTATAAACCGAGGCCCCGTGTCGCAGTAGGTGCTGGCACGAAAAAGATCCCTCACTGCTCAAAGGCCCTGAGTGCCGAGCATAGGTCAAAATTTGTAGCCCTCCACCGGCAAGTGGTGGCATCTCCATATGAGTGAAAAATTCTCGAGAGGGACCTTAAACAATATACAATCAATCAATCTTGAACAGAGAGCTAACCTAGCCGCTACGTAGGATGAGCTAGCATTGAATTTGAAGGCTAAATTGGAATATCAAAATGGCGGACATTTTCTACATTCAGTCAAGTGTATTTAAAAGTTTTGAAAATTAAACTATCGATCATATTTTCTTCCGGAATTCGTTTGGACGTTTCGCGATTGGTTTTTCCGGAAGTGTGATGTTTAATGAAAGCGCGACTACTGTGTTTTTTGGCAAGTATTTGACTGTATATTGATCAAGATTTCCAGTTTGAAGGATGTCTAAGAAGATGTGTCAAATTAAGCCATTTTGTGTCTGTCTGAAACAATTTTTAAAGTCCAGAACGACTTTAAAGTGCTTCGTCTGCCACATTTTGATACCGTCTGCTACTTTGGCTGGCTGATATGGAGGGTGTAAGAGTACCGTAAGTAAACGTCATACTTTTTAAGTATTGTACGTACATTTTACGTATAAAGGGTTTTCTATACAATTTAATTTAAACATAAAGTGCTTAATTTGGACAAATACCCTAAAATCTTGAAAATAAGACGGATTTAATAATAAGTCGGTTTTGGCTTATTTCTTGCATTAAAAATTATTCGAAAATAAGCCAGTTTTGAAAATAAGCCGGTCATGACAATGTCATTTAGAAAAGATGTTATACGTTTGACGATTTCTCGTCTTAAAAATTTGACGAGTAAAAACTTTGTCGATATTTATTTACTGTGCAAAATAAAAAAAATTATCTTTCTTTAATTCATTTAACCTTTACCAATTTCTGCATACGACATAGTACAAATTAACGAGTACGAGTAACGACGTCATAGTACGAACAAAGTCTGTAGCTGCTTATGAACGTATGTAAAATTACTAATAGAGATTGTTCTATCTGACGTATCCGTATAAGTATACGTATCCGTATCCGTATCGAGGTATGAAAGGCATCTCGATCCCGATGTCTGAACCATCTGGTTACATTTCCATTGCTTCATGTTTAGTTTTTAACCTCATTCACTAAGATATGATATGCAGTGTGATATTTTTAATAAAAACATATCAGTTGCTGTACTCGTATATGCATTACGTCTTCTTTCTTCTTTTTTTTTGGGGGGGGGGTTAAAAGTAAAAAAGAAATAGAAAAACAAGTATGATTTTTTTATTTAAATGTGTAGAAAATATTTCTAGATTTCTCTCTCTCTTTCTCTCTCTCTCTCTCTCTCTCTCTCTCTCTCTCTCTCTCTCTCTCTCTCTCTCTCTCTCACTATTGGGATATTCATTCTTCATTCTTGAAATAACATTTACAAGAACACGACATATCCCCAATACAGGTGTAATATACGAGGGGTGTTAGAAAAGTTCGCGGACAAGTTCAATTGTGAGCGCGCTATTTCCACGAAACCGGTCAAACTTTCCAGATAGAATCTTTACCTTTTTTCAAATAAATATACAAGAAATTTTTTCTCTCCGGTGATTATTAAAAAATATACAGCTTTTTTATTTTGATAAAACTTGCTTCACGGAGCATGCTACATTTTGGCACGTTTACATCACAAAGACTCTTTATTAAAATTAAAAATTGCACAATTGTAGCGCAAAGAGATTTATGATATTTTACCTGCCGCTAAAGTATTCATGAAACATCACTGGGAGAAATTTTGAACTAAATTGGAGGGTATATGACTGTTTTATAGCCGTTTATATATGATCATTGCGTAAAAACACAGTCAAAAATCGGAACGTCATTGTGCGTCATGGAGCACTGCACTACGTAAAAATTATGTATGCAGACTGGAAAATGTCTAAAAAGAGATTAAAATGGTCAAGATGCTGCCGGGAATTTCCTACACCTACAAAGGAGAAGTTTGCAAATGGTTGTAGCTTCATAAGAATGGAAGGATTGACACTTTGAAAGATTAACTCCAGCGATACTTCAGTACCCCCGTATCGCATGGACGTTGCGTTGCGCCTATATGGTAATGCATAGTTTTTATACCTGATCGATTAACTGATTGACTGCATAAACTTTTTTTAAGATCTCAATAATATCCGAATCAGTACAAAAGACATTGTCGAAGAAAAGAAACATTTCTTGATATAAATATTCAATTTTAAAGTAGAAAAAAGATCAGAAAAATCTAAAGATTTACAGAACTGCGACAAAGGTTAACGGGTTGAAATCTGGTTGTTACGTCGCCTTACGTCAAGTGATTGCTCCGTGAATCCCATAACCTCATAGTAAAAATCGTTGTAAATTTTCAAGATTTTATTATATAGACCTGATTTTTGACATACAAATAAACAAAATGTAGGAATTTATTCAGATATAGGTCATACTTCACGGTACTCAATAGATTTTCCGTAATTCAATGTGTCCGCGAACTTTTCTAACGACCCTCGTATAATTATATATACAGTTAAACATCTTTATCTCAAACTTGTTAATTGTTAAAACATGTAGTTGTACATTAACTGGGAAAGATTTAATCATAGTGCAAAACAAATGTGTATGGGGGATTCACTGAAAATGTCCATCCTCATTTCCTTTTTTATCATCATCTATGCCATTCATTATCACGTATTTGATGGTCATAGTTCTCCAGAAAAAAAATTGGATAGCTGGTAATTTTGAGGCAATTTGAATACACTCCCTACATTCCACGTATCACGGAAGCAAATAGAAAGGGGGGCTAAATGAAAGTGCGGGGGGGGGGCTAAACCAACAAAAAAATGTAAACCCCAACTTCAAATGCTTATACATTATGTCTATCTTTGCAAGAAAGTGTGTGTGTGTGGGGGGGGGGGGGGGGCTAACCTGCCTCTAGCTCCCGGTTCCGACGCCTATGCGTATCCAGGTTTTCAGGGAGCTTGAGAATTGACTATGTTCAATATCCGAAAGAGTTGCGTTTAAACGCTGTAATTGTTAGACTCGATTAATTTAACACGTTGATAAAGGGGGAGAAAAATAATTGTTAGGTTATGATGTATCTTCCTCTCTTAAACTATTCTTTTGCATATTAACTTCTTTTCATGTAAGTTACATGATAATATCAAATTTTATGTAAGCACATGGTGAGGCATAGACGTCGGAACTGAAGGGGGGGGGGGGGGGGGGCAGGGGGCTTAGCGCCCCCCCCCCCACTTTATTTGCGAAGATGGACACAATAAATGCATTGAACATTGAGGCTTAGGATAAGCCCCCTCCCCACTTTCAGCAGGCACGTTGTATTTCAGTTAAAGAAGAGTAAGTGGGAGTGTTTAAAAAAAAATAATAATGAAAAAAGTTCGACCCCCCCCCCTGCGCACAAACACATACACAATTGAATTTAAGGGTTTTGGACAATGAACAACTTTTTTTTCCTTTTTTCTTTTTGCTAATCAAGGTTTATGAGAGCTGAATTTTCCTGTCTTGCAATTAGCCCCACTCCCTACTTTCAATTTGCTTCCGATGCCAATGTGAGGGGAGGGGAAAAGGAGGGAGTTGAAATGGCTATTCAATGCATATACTCAGTACTTGTAACGGTCCTGAAGCAATTATAAAATCAAATAGAAAACCCTCTTTAAAAATGGCTACAGAGTTTTATCGATAGCGTTGATGATAAGATATTTTGTATTTCAGTGTGTGAGTGTTGTGGGGGGGGGGGGGGGGGGGGCATCTGTTATGTCGTGTAATGTAATAGGAAAAATACAGCATAATAAAAAAAATATCGTAATATTTTGAAAGAGGAAAAAAAAAGAAAGGAGCTTTTTCAACAAATATTTTGAAACAACATGAAATTAATTTTAAAACAATATAATTAAAACAAAATATTTTACACTTCTTTTTCTTTTCTCCGAAATGATAGAGGTTTACTGCATGCAGTTTAGTATTTTTAATAGAAAAATTGCCAATTGCTATTTTCCCATGCATGACCGTGTCTTATTTAACCACAAACAGTGATGGACATTGCATTAAATGGTTTAGACATCGGGATCGAGATGCCTTTCATATCTCGATACGGATACGGATACGTATACGGATACGGATGCGTCAGATAGAACAATCTCTAATAAAGGGTTGTTTATAAAGTTTTTTTTTTTACCAGTAATCATGTTCGCTGGCGAAAAAAACTTAATTGCGGAACCAGCTAAAATGGTGAATTTTTTTCATGAAATTGTCAGAACAATAATTATCTCATCTAGACCTGTACAATCTAACGATGTGTTAGAAGGTGATAATAATCAAATAAGTAAATGGATAAAAGGAAGTTTTTGTTTGTAAAGCATTTAACTGCCAGGTAATACTGTCCGAGGCAAGAAACCTGATGATCGACAGGGCTTGCTAGTAATTACATTTTAATGTACCGTAAAATTGAGTTGTTTAAATATGTGTTTGTTTGATTAATTTATCAAGTAATTCAATTGCAAGCGGATATCTTATATATTATTTTTACTTTTTTAAAACAAGTTTATATATCATGTATATTCATATGCTGTATACAATGAAATTAACTTTTCGGGATCGGCATTTTTATAATATAAAGTAGACGATCCTAAAGAACGTACACTGGGAAACGCCAATAATTTCAAGAGTGCTCTCTTCTCTTACCAGTTTTTTGCATTGATAATAAGCCGCAATTTGAAAATAAGCCGGTCTTGAAAATAAGCCCCCACTTTCTTACCAAAACTTAAAATAAGCCGCGGCTTATTTTCAAGATTTTAGGGTATTTACACGTTTTTCCCAGGGCCGGGTGGGATGTCTCTTCCAAAGATGATTTCTAGTTTGAAGAAATACTTGTAATATATCGTAATCGTCATAAAGGAATAGACTTTCATTTGTTTAATCTATATAATCAAATGTTTGAATTCGATGTGTGATTCTTATTCTAGATCTAATAATTGTAAGCCAATGCACTGGCTACCTTCTTGCACATATTTCAGATTTAATGAGGAATTCATAGTGCAATTTGCGGATGGGGTACATCCAGATAAGAAGATTGTTGTAAATAAGTATGATGCTGCAAGGATAAGGGCAGGAGGTTTCAAAATTTATATTACTCATGTTTTACAGAGCCTATACATGAAGATGTATTTGTGTTGAACATGTATAGTCTTATTGTGTACTGGTCACACAGTCAATATGTTATAATTTCTTAAAGTAAAATTTATAACCCCCCTTGAAATGTTGGAGGTTATATAGTGATCGGGATGCCCTTCCCGATTCTGTCTGTCTGTACTTTTTTTTATTATTATACTTAAAAGCAAAACTTTAAAAAATAAAACTTGGACACACAACTATGTCAAGTTAACTGACCATATTCAGAAAAAAACATGCTTTCCCAAAGAACAAATGTCCTCTTCAATGTACTAGCCCAAATTCAGAAATCACTTACCCAGACCAGCATGTCGTCAATTATTTTGAGCCATGTGTATGTGCCCTTGAAATGCTCTAAGGTGCATGGGATTTTTGGTGCAATTGAATTCTATAAAATTACATATACATATGGATATATTTTTAATGATTTTTAAATTATATATAATATTACATATCAGTATCAGTATGTATAGTTACATGTATTAATATTTTTAATTCACTTTGCTTCCATCATGTTTGATTGCTAAGAATTATTTGTAATCATGATATTAACTGATATTTCAGATCAGAAATTTATTGATCAGATCAGGAATTCTTTTATAGAGGCAGATGTCATCAAAGAGACTGAGATACCGCCTGTACCGGGTAACATTTATTCATGTGAATTGTTAAATATTATAAACGGATTAAGATTCCAATAAAAGTTTTATTGGTTAATGCTAAGCTATGTAAAATACACATTAGATGATTACTTAAATTCAGTTCATCTCTTTAGAGTTTTCAGTCCTTTCAAGTGTTGAAGTCATTATCTGCATATGATTTATTATAGTTATAAGAGGAATTGTATATTAGGATGGGTATATTATTAACTTGCAGTGCATTATATGTTCTAATATATTGTTTGTTCCATTTTACATTTAAGGTATCCTCAGTCTTAAGTAAAACTATTTATACAGGGCTATTTTTGCCGTGTTATTTTTGCCTTTTCACGCCTGCAAACAATTTTGCCCCGTTGTCGATTTAATGATAGAACCGTTTCACGCTTAATTTGGACTTTTAGTAATGCGTGGCATTCTCGGTGCTACATGTTTACCGCCTGCCAAATGGCGAAAAGATTCTCATTGGGTAAGAAATGAATAACATCAGGAACTTTAAATTGCTGTTAATAATGATGAGAAGACTTAAGCTCCACCTCTTTGCAGGATGAGACAATTTAATTGGTGTTTTTTATTCGATACACTAATTAACATTTGCCCAAATTTCTATCCCATGTATATTTCAACAGTGAAGGAAAGCTGTGTAAATTTCAGAAGCTAATTATGTAACATCAAGAATGCCAAACCGTACTGAAAGTCCAAACTAAGCGTGAAATGGTTCTAATATATGCTTGACTTTGTTAAAACATAGATGAGACACCCTCTAGAGGAAAGGAAAGCAGAGGCAAGTATCTTTTTACTACATGAAACGTCAAAGGTAACTTATTAAGTATTAATTGAAAACTTGGTGAAGATCATGAAAAGAGACATTGGCTCTCCTCTCAAAAATTCAAGTAAGGAAGGAGGATTTCGATAATCCTGTTGTGAGGAAGTACGAGATTTGGGAGAAGGTTGGGGAGGAGATGAGTCCTGGTGGATTTGAGAAATCACCCACTGCATGCGAGAAAAAGTGGAATAACTTAAAAAATTCGGTATACACGGTATATAACTTTTTTTAGATACAGTATAGGTTGTTGAAAGTCTAAATGCAATTACTTGAACATGTATATTCATTATATTGAGACATTCAATATAAACATTATGATTCATTTTACATGTATTGAGACAATCACTATAAACATAGTTTTATCAGGAGGCCCTGTTCTTCTATTGTATTTTATAGATTTAGGTTCAATGTTTTGAGGATCCTGCCTAAATGATACACATTTATTTAAATATTCATATATTAATTTCTTTATATCTAAGTTTTTTTTCAGATTCATTTGAATGCTAAGATTATATTTTTAAAAAAGTTCTTCCAGGAAAAAGGATATGGAGATAACGAACTGTATTCAGTCTCAAAGTCCATAAAACAATACAAAGTAAGAGCAGAGCCAACACGGACCCCCGAAACAACAGAGATGGGATCAGGTGCCACGGAGGAGTGAGCATCCCCTTCTGACCGGTCACACCCGCCGTATGCTTCTTGTCATGATCGGGAAATAACAGAAAAAATCCGTCATCAATTCAGTGTAAAAATAATGGACTAACAATTGGTTTGAAAAACGTCAGTCAGCATTTGACTCATAATAAATTGTATTTGCTGACAAGGTCATTGTATCGACCATAGAACTTACGAAATAATGACTTCAAAAGAGACTGCTGATATTCTCGTTTCATCAACTTGCTTGTCAATAATTTACCTTGTTTCAGAAATTGTTCATACGTAGAGCATGCTCTTGCGTATCGAATCAACTGAGATATATATACTCCGTATGCAGGTGATGAAGGTAAATTGCTGCATAAGTAAGGGACGTTGACGATAGAAAAGTCATCACGTTTGTCATATAGTTTGGTTGTTAGATTGCCATTAGCGTCTTTTTCAAGTAAAATATAAAAGTATGAAACAGAAGCTGTGGTATCTTTTATCTCAAGCTCACCAGGATAAATCGTATCGACATAGGAATGGAAATTACCATTGTTAATTGACAAAACGTCGTCTATATATCTAAATGTCAAGTTGAAGGCCACAGCAAGTGTTGTCTTCTTTTCACGCATAAGATTTTGCATAAATTCTGCTTCATATGAATATTAAAAAAAGTCTGCCAATAACGGAGCGCAATTTGTACCCATGGGAATTCCAGTAGATTGTTGGAATACCAGAGGCCTGTTCAGCAGAGCGAGCGTTCGCGAGCGCTCGCCAAAATTACTATTGGAGGTATAAGGAATTTTTGTGAGCGCTCGCGAATGCTCGTTCTACTGGAAAGGACTCTGGTCTCCAAAAACCACGTAGATAAACAAGAGGCCCAGATGCCACAGCGCTGTCATAAAACATTTTCCAGTTTTCCTTAATGGCACAATATTAATATTATCCAATATTTCTTCAACATGGTCTTAAATGTAAAATGTCCCCATTTTATAGTTGTAAATGTGATTATAGATGAAGAAAATATAATTGTTATACAGAATAGGAAACAAATAGGAAATAATGTGTTAAGATTGGTTCCCATTTAAGCGAAACGTTGGATATTCTGAAAGGTGTTCCCCAAGGATGCATTCTAGGACCTGTATTTTTCAATATTTTTATTAATGACCTGTTGTTGTTTTTGTCCCCCGCTTGAAAAGTGGGGGATATTAATTTGGGTTTGTCCGTCCGTCCGTCTTTCTGTCTGTCTGTAACGCTTTCGTTTCCACACGATATCTCGAGAACCCTTTGAGCTTTTGCAATGAAATTTAGCATAGCAACTCCCTGTGGACTTAAGAAGACCCCTATTGATTTTGAGGTCAAAAGGTCAAAGGTCAAGGTCATAAATAAGCAAATTCTGTCTGTTAAAACACTTTCGTTTCCACACGATATCTCTAGAACCATTTGAGCTATTGCAATGAAATTTTATATAACAACTCCCTGTGGCCTAATGAAGACCCCTATTGATTTTGAGGTCAAAAGATCAAAGTTCAAGGTCGTAAATTTATACATTCTGTCTGTGTGAAATACTATTATTTCCGGGCGATATTTCAAGAAGATTTTGAGCTTATGCAATGTAATTTTATATCAAAACTCCCTAGGACGTCTCTCGCCCCTCTCAAAGTGCCCCGCCCCGTTTGTTTTATTAGTATTTATAGTATTACATGTCGCTATTTTTAGTGCAGGGGGAATGAGGAGAGTTATTGCGTATAAAACAGGTTCTCGGCGGACTTTATATTCTTATTACATCTATTAGAACTGTTTAATAAAGGCTAAATAAATCAAACACCATGGATTGTGTAAAATTTTGAGAATACTGAACATGAAAACATGAATATATACATGTATGTGACTTCACTTCTGCATATACTTCACCCCGAGTAAAGCGATTCCGTGGTCTAGTGGTTATGTCTCTCGCTTCCAATGTGAGAGGTCCCGCGATCGAATCTCGGTCGAACCTTTCTTTTTTTTTTTTTAAATACTTTCTTTTTAACTTAATGATAGTATTCAGCATGTGAAATGAAAAATTTATGAAGTTATAAAATCATCATTACAGTGTGATAAAAATTCCATATAAAGAAATCTTCTATACACATAATGAATAATAAGCAATCAAATCTTTATATGCATATTGACATTCATGTATTTTATTTGCTTCAGTATACATGTATACATTTAATAATTCTACAAATTCAGTCAGGGGGAGCCGACTTTTTCCCTAAGCGGGGGACACGAATTCTCTGAATTAGCTTGTTTGGTTTGTTTTTTGTTTTTGTTTTTGTTTTTTTTTTTTTTTTTGGTTAAAAACTGCACCCTCTACAATTATGCAGATGACAATTCTCTAGCAAAATCTCACAAAACGATATAAACTCTATACAGGAAGACATTCTATCTCTTATTAAATGGTTCTCAAATAATTAAATGAAGGCAAATCCTGAAAAATTCCAAGCAATCGCAATTGGGGCAAAATCCCTGAAGATTTTCAAAGCCCATGTTTCCCTCGCTATGGGGTAGAAATAAAAAATGTTTCAATAGTAAGAAGTCTTTTCTCCACATTTATTATTTCCCTTGATTTAATGATCAACAAACGAATAAATAGTACACAGAGAAGGGGAGGATTGGAAGTTTTTAAAGCTTTTTAGTTTGTTTTAAATATATTTTTAAAATTAAATTTTAATAGTGCAACTCAGTTCTTGTCTTAAATGATAACAGTATATTTTTCTAGATCTAATTATAAGAAAAAATATTTGCAGATAATGGAAACGCCATGGATATTTTCGACAGAGGAAGGGGGAGGTTTTTTTTAACCCTCCTTTGCTCACCATGGCTGATGCAGCCTCTGTGTTTTCAAGAGAAAGGCTCTCTATCGGACCTGTCAGGGTTGAACGTGTATGTTTATATGCATATTTTTACTCATGCTTAGTATATGTTCAGGAAGCCAGAGACGCTTTAGACTGTTAGATCACGTTAGATGATGTTGTTTCCAAATATTGTGATGATTTAGGGCGTATTTTGTCAGATCTAGATCTTTAGAATAAACTCTTTGCCATATGGAACTGTGACGAGAAAGGATTCCAGTTTGAGCAGTTTGAGCATTCTCCTACAACTACATGCGCAAGAAGCTTTCCCGAACGCAGACCTGCCTACCCTTAGTCACCGTGAAAGGTAAAACCAGAAGACGTTCATCTGATGCTCCTCAAGCTACATTTTGGGCCTATCAAATGTATGTTTGGATGAGTGACATACTTGGGGACCAGTGGTTTCAGGGAGTATTCACCGTTCCCAGTTACTTATTTAAGACTCCCACAGTAGCTATGAGTTCTTCAGTCACTTTGCCATCTGACTAGAAGAATGCTCTGCATCTTGTTTAATGATTGTCCCGATTAATAAGGCTAAACTTGTATCGAAAGAAAAAACTTTAAACACGATGGATTTATCATAGCACCCCCAAATGTTTAGAAGCATAAAGAGAATAAATGTCCTTATTTTCACTTTTGACCTTTCGGTTGACCCCGCAAAGGGACATAAATATTGCAAATTGTGAATTGGATTATATAATCATTTAAATTACCAGAGGTAAGCACTTTCAGTACTATATAAATTAATAGACCAATTTATGGTGTATAATTAATGTTGCGTACTCTTAAAAACATGGAGGAAATTCAGAATGAGGTGAACAATACGCACTTACATTTGTACAGCTCATATCAAATTTTAAAAGAAGATAAATGTAAATAAATATTAATTAATCAACAATTCATCCAATATTATCCGACTTATCTACCCTTCGGTTTTTGGTGTAATTCCCCCCCCCCCCCTTTTTTTGCATTTGATTACGCTGTTAAGCCATTGCAATCAATTTTACACTTTAGATTTCAGACTTTACAATTTTGAATTCTGGACAGTGACCTACTTCTGAATCTAAGCAATATCTCTGATTATGCATAATTGATTGAATGTATATTATTTAACATCTCTCTCGAGATTTTTTTTCACCTATATGGAGACGACACCACTTGCCAGTGGACAGCTGCAAATTTTGTCCTATACTCAGCACTCAGGGCCATGCTCAAGGGATGGACCTTTTTCGTGCTTGCAACAACTGCGACACGAAACCTTCGTTTATATGGTATCATCTGAAGGACCGGTCTCCACGTCCCACAGTAGGATTCGAACCCGCGACGTAACGATCAACTCCTTACTTTGCGACTCTAGAGTAGACGCTCTAACCAAGCGTTTTTTTTCTACTGGTTGATTTGGCGTTTCTGCTGATGGGAGTGTGGTT